TGATTTTCTGTCTAATTGATCGGTCTAATATTGACAGTGGAGTGTTAAAGTCTTCCACTATTGCTGGGCGCGGTGGCTCAAGCCTGTAATCCCAGCACTTTGGGAGGCCGAGCAGGTGGATCACAAGGTCAAGAGATCGAGACCATCCTGGTCAACATGGTGAGACTCTGTCTCTACTAAAAATACAAAACATTAGCTGGGCATGGTGGCACATGCCTGTAATCCCAGGTGCTCAGGAGGTTGAGGCAGGAGAATTGCCTGAACCCAGGAGGCGGAGGTTGCGGTGAGTCGAAATCGCACCATTGCACTCCAGCCTGGGTAACAAGAGTGAAACTCCGTCTCAAAAAAAAAAAAGTCTTCCACTATTATTGTGGGGGTGTCTAAGTGTTTTTGTAGGCCATTCAGAACTTGCTTTATGTATGTGGGTGCCCCTGCATTGGGTGCATATATATTTAGGATAGTTAGCTCTTCTTTTTGCATTGATCCTTTTACCATTATGTAATACCCTTCTTTGTCTCTTTTGATCTTTGTTGGTTTAAAGTCTGCTTTATCAGAGACTAGGATTGCGACCCCTGCTTTCTTTTTGCTCTACATTTGCATGGTAAATCTTCATCCATCCCTTTATTTGGAGTCTATGTGTGTCTTTGCACATGAGATGGGTGTCCTGAATACAGACCACTGATGGGTCTTGACTTTGTATCCAGTCTGTGACTTTTGATTGTGACATGTAGCCCATTTACATTTAACATTAATATTATTATGTTTGAATTTGATCCTGCCATTTTGTTACTGGGTAGTTGTTTTGCCCATAAGTTGACACATTTTCTTCATTGTGTTATTGGTCTTTACCATTTGGTACATTTTTGCAGTGGCTTGTATTGGTTTTTCCTTTCAGGTTTAGTGCTTCTTTCAGAGGCTTTTCTAAGGCAGTCCTGGTGGTGATGAAATCTCTCAGCAATTGCTTGTCCATAAAGGATTTTATTTCTCCTTCACTTATGAAGCCTAGTTTGGCTGGATATGAAATTCTAGGTTGAAAGTTCTTTTCTTTAAGGATGTTAAATATTGGCCTCCACTCTCTTCTAGCTTATAGGGTTTCTGCTGAGAGATCCACTGTGAGTCTGATGGGCTTCCTTTTTGGGTGACCTGATCTTTCTCTCTGGCTGCTCTTAGCATTTTTTTCTTCATTTCAACCCTGGTGAATCAGACAATTATGTGCCTTGAGGTTGCTCTTCTTAAGCAGTATCTTTGTGGTGTTCTCTGTATTCCCTGCATCAAGAAGAGCTAACTATCCTAAATATATATGCGTCTTGGCCTGCCTTGCTAGGTTGGGGAAGTTCTCCTGGATAATATCCCTAAGATTGTTTTCCAGCTTGGATTCATTCTCCCCGTCACATTCAGGTACACCAGTCAAGTGTAGATTAGGTCTTTTAATATAATCCCGTATTTCTTGGAGGCTTTGTTTATTTCTTTTCACTCTTTTTTGTCTAATCTTGCCTTCTCATTTTATTTCATTGAGTTGATCTTCAATCTCTGATATCCTTTTTTCTGCTTGATAAAATTGGCTATTGAAACTTGTGTATGCCTCTCAATGTTCTCATGCTGTGTTTTTCAGCTCCATCAAATCATTTATGTTCTTCTCTAAGCTGGCTATTCTAGTTAGCATTTCATCTAGCCTTTTTTCAAAGTTTTTACTTTCTTTACGTTGGGATAGAACATAATCCTTTAGCTCAGAGAAGTTGGTTATTACTCACCTTCTGAAGCCTTCTTCTGTCAGGTCATCAAACTCATTCTCTATCCTGTTTTGTTTCCTTGCTGGTGAGGAATTGTGACATTTTGGAGAGGCATTCTTGTTTTTGATGATTTCATCCTTTTTGGGCTGGTTTCTTCCCATCTTCATGAGATTATCTACCTTTAATCTTTGAAGTTGGTGATTTCTGATGGGATCTCTGAGCGGACATCCTTTCTGTTGAAGTTGAAGCTGTTTCTCTTGTATGAGGCATTTTTTTTTTATTATATAGTGGTCAGGGAGCCACTTGATGAGACAGCCTGTCCTTTGTTTGCCTGCAGAGGTGCTGCTGGGCCGCCTTGGGTTCAGCCTGGCTGCTGTGTAGTCTCCCATTGGCTTTTGTATACACAGGTGAGGTTACCCCCATCTTCCCAATGGCAGGCGTCCTTCCCTCTGCCAAGCTCAATCATCTCAGGTTGAGTTCAAACTGATGTGCTGGGTGCAAAACTCTAGTGAGAGGGCTTCAGTTTCCTGGACTTGGTGGGGTAGGTACTGCCAAGGCGTATCACCCATTTCCCTGCTTTCAACTCTCCTTCCTTCTGGGGGACGGGTAGTTCCGTCTCGCAAGCATTCTTGGGGTTAGTCAAAACTTCTGCCCAGGTCTGTGCTAATAACTGATGGTGTCAGTGCCGGGCCAGAGCTGTCACTCAGATCTGTGTTGATAACTCATGCTTTTCAGCATGGTAGTGTTCTTCTGTACTGTGGGTTGCAGGGGTCATGGGAGAAAAGCAGTATCTGAACTGGAGTGCCAAGGGGGTAAGTTCCCTGATCCTCCAGGCCAGTTGCACTTCAAGGTGGGGCAGCAACCTGCCCTACTTCAGTTAGCCCTCTTTGGGTTATTTTCGTCCTGCTTGAGTTCACCCTCTTTGGGCTGTTGCCACTGTCTGACCAGAGCCATTGAAATAAACCTGGTACCTCATTTGGAAATGTGGAGATCACTTGCTTTCTGCGTCTTTCTCACTGGGAAGTGCAATCCAGATTTGTTTCTATTTGGCCATCTTGGCAGAAGTCTCCCTCTCCATGTCTTTCCATGTTTTGATACTTTTCTTTTTAGCACTGAAATATGTTCTGTTGTCTGAATGTACCACAGTTTACCCACTTATCTACTAAAGGGCTTGATGATTTCTTCTAAATTTTGGCAATTAGGAAGAAAGTAGTTATAATATCGCTACGTCCTTGCCAGCATTTGGTGTTGACAGTGTTTTGGATTTGGACCGTTCTAAAAAGTGTGTAATCATATCCCATTGTTGTTTTAAATTTCAATTCCCTAATGACATCTGTTGAACATCTTTTCATATACTTAATTGCCATCTCTTTATCTTCTTTGGTGAGGTGTCTGTGCAAAACTCTGGCTGATTTTTTAAAAATCTGGCTTTAGTTTCCTCATTGTTGATTTTTATTAGGTTGGTGCAGATGTGATTGTGATTTTTGCCATTACTATCAATGGCAAAAAACACAATCACATCTGCACCAACCTAATAAGAGTTCTTAATATATGTTAGATAATAGATCTTTATTAGATGCAAATATTTTTTCCCAATATTTGGCTTCTCTTCTCATTTTCCTGACATTGTCTTTTATAAAAAAAAGTTCTTAGTTTTAGTAGATTCAATCTTCTCAATAATTTTATTCATGGATCATGCCTTAATGTTTTATTTAAAAAGTCATCTGCATACCCAAGATCATCCAGGCTTTCTCCCATGTTGTTTTCTAGGTGTTTCATAGTTTTGAGGTTTAATTAGTTCTAAAATACTAAATTGAAATTTTGGGGGAGACATAGTCTTGCTCTACAGTCTCCACCTCCCAGGCTCAAGTAATCCTCCCACAGTCTCTACCTCCCCAGCTCAAGTAATCCTCCCACACCAGCCTCCCAAGTAGCTGGGACTACCAGCACACACCACAATGCCTAACTAATTTTTTTTTTTTAAGAGATAGGTTCTCATTATGTTACCCAAGCTTGTCTTGAACTCCAAGCTAAAGCAATCCACCTACCTCCGTTTTGCAAAGGGCTGGGATTATATTAGTGAGCCACCAAGCTTGGGTAAACTGAGATTTATTTAAGCAAACTGATTAGTGCTGTGTGTGGTGGTGTACGTTGGTTATCTCACCACTTTGGGAGGTAGGAGTGGAAGGATGACCTAAGACCAGGAGTTGGGCCAGGCGCAGTGGCTCATGCCTGTAATCCCAGCACTTTGGGAGACTGAGGCGGGCAGATCATGAGATCAAGATATCGAGACCATCCTGACCAACATGGTGAAACCTCGTCTCTACTAAAATACAAAAAAAAAAATAAAAACAACAACAACATTAGCTGGGTGTGGTGGTGTATGCCTGTAGTCCCAGCTACTCAGGAAGCTGAGGCTGGAGAACTACTTGAACATGGGAGGCAGAGGTTGCAGTAAGCTGAGATCATGCCACTACATTCCAGCCTGGCACCTGGTGACAAGGACTCTGTCTAAAAACAAAACAACAACAACAACAACAAAACCAGGAGTTTGAGATCAGCCTGGGCAATATAGTGAGACCTTGTCTCTACAAAAATAACAGTAAAAAATAGCCTAGCATGATGGTATGCACCTGTAGTTCCAGCTACTCAGGAAGTTGAGTTGGAAAGATTGCTTGAGGTCGGGAGTTTGAGATTGCAGTGAGCCATAATGACGCCACTACATTTCAGCCCTGGGTGACAGCATGAGACCCTTTTTCAAAAAAAAGAGAAAAAATTGATAAAGTCTTTATGCAACTCATTATAATTTTTTAAACGGAAACTCATGCTTGATATTACCTCAACAGTGTGTCCCTGAGAAAGTGTCAGAGCCTTTACCTAGAACTTCCAATGAAAAACAAATAAATAAAAAAACACACAGTATAGTCAATGTAAAAGGAGAAGGTAAGGATACGATTTTATTTAAAATGTCATTTGATGGACTTTTTAAAAATATGAGCACTAATATATTCAGATAGCTAAAGAAAATGTTCTATTAAATGTATAATAAGTAAAGGAGAAGTAAAATGGTGAAAGGTGTGTATCTAATCAGAGATCGGCAGTTGAATCTATTGAGAGTACCACTAAAGGAGCTGAATTATTAGTTCCCATTTTAAGATACTATAAGATCTGAGGCAAGTCAGGAAAGAGGAAAGAGGAAATGAATAAAAGAGAGAAACAGTGAGGAGGGCAGTGTGTACATGAAATAAATGAAGAAACAGTATGTGGGTGTATGTAAAGGAGGGTAGTAAAGTCAAATTGATTTGTGGAAGGAAGAGCAGGGTGATAGAAATAGGAAAGAAGGTAATGTCAGCTTCCAGCACCAAAATGTGTCAGAGAACGAGTAACATCTTCCTGCTCTGTCATTCTGACTATTGGAGAGGCATGAAGGATTGAGGTACCTCACCACCCAGACCTGTGTTTTATCTACCATAGATGAATATCACCATAAATGGTCAGCCTTGTATGGCCATAATTTAGTTTTATAGAAAATATTATAACTTCATCAGATAGTATTATATAGGCCAAATTAACATAATTGAATAGTGTCATGTGATTTTTGGAGAGGAAGTTAGAGAAGGTATAACCTGATTAAACGTTTATTAGAAACATTATGGCTTATAATGCCGAATTAAATTCAGGGACTTAATTGGGAAGAAACGGGCTAAGTTCCAGATGGGCAATTAAGGTAAACAAATGTGGAAGCACATTAATGTAGAACAGGGCATCCAAATTTTTATGAATTAGTTGAGGACCTTCTGGAAAATGGACATTGTCATTCAGCACATGTGGGTTTCTGCCTTTCTCAGGAATACTCAGGTGGTGGTGGTGCTGTTCCTTGGACACAGCTCTGAGTAACAAGGAAATAGCCGTCCTTTAGAGAAATCTGGAAAAAGAAGCATTGGACAGCTATTTAGCAAAATAACAGAATCAAGGGAAGGCATTGATCTCCTTTTATTTCTGAAGTAGGATTCTAGCCACAGAGGAAGCAGAATGAGATGAAAAAAGAAATTATTGGTGTATATTACTGCTGAATACAGATTTTTAAAAAGTGGGTGCAATTATCCATAAAAAACAGTTAGGAAGAGAAGCATCAGGATGACAGATCTAAAGATTACTTTTGCAAAGGAAGAGGGATTCTGAAATGGCAAGGAGGGGTGAAGAAAAAGAAGTTTGTTGGGGGAATTTTGGAGTTAAATCCAAGGAAGCTTGAGACACCTCACTTCTAGTTCCCTGGGCATATGTCCAGTCTAGCAAAAGCAGTTATTAGGCCGGGCGTGGTGGCTGAAGCCTGTAATCCCAGCACTTTGGGAGGCCGAGGCGGGTGGATCACAAGGTCAAGAGATCGAGACCATCCTGGTCAACATGGTGAAACCCCATCTCTACTAAAAATACAAAAAATTTGCTGGGCATGGTGGCGTGTGCCTGTAATCCCAGCTACTCAGGAGGCTGAGGCAGGAGAATTGCCTGAACCCAGGAGGCGGAGGTTGCGGTGAGCCGAGATCGCGCCATTGCACTCCAGCCTGGGTAACAAGAGCGAAACTCCGTCTCAAAAAAAAAAAAAAAAAAAGCAGTTATTGCTGTGGAGAGTACTGGAGGCAGGAGAGAGTGCTAGAATTGGGGTAAACCACAGCAGCTAATTTCTCTTCATAACTGTCAGGCCTCAGAGCAAGAAGTTTCATTGACCTGCGTGAATAAGATGTGATTAAGTTGCATTTTGGCTATTTTTTGGTGGGGAGGGGGGAGTCAGCCAGTTCTTTGATATGATAGCTGTTTTATAAAAGTCATTGACAGATTAAGATGACATGGAAAAGTTAGCTAATTTTAGAAGCAGTCATATTATAAAATTCTGTGACTACCAAAATTGTCACTTTCTAAGAATACCTCACTGTTCTTGAAATATAAAAGGTTTTTCTTTTCTATCAAGACTGTGGACATGTCATGTTTTCTCTTTTGATAACTATTTTGATACTGAAAGCTTCTTCTACATGGTTTATTTGATGTGTTTTAAGTCTTGCATGAGTGGATCAAGGAACTCTTAAGAAAAGGTCAAATGAGAGGATATGAGAAATGTAGGTGCTTCCGTAGCCACGTGGGCATCGGAAAATGAGAATTTTGAGAAACTGTTATTTCATAAATTTGTGTAATAGCTGATCAACTTTGTACACTTTTTTTGATGAGAGGTGAATCACACATTCATCTGAACTGGCATCCCAACTGTGTATTTCCTAAGTGACAGGACAGGGGGAAGCACATGATAAATATTTGTGGTGTTCTGGCGTCAATGCCTCTGATGTTTTGAGTTTAAATAATCTGTAGCATTCACTATCAGCCTTGACATTGATTCCCTCAGGTTATGATTTGCTCCACTGTTTAATAGTCCCTTTTATCCTTATCAGCCCAGCACATTCACATTAATATCCATACTTTTCTATTTTTGTTATAGGCATTTTAAACAATCTCACTTTTGAAATATAAACTTTGTGATTTAGGGATCCTATATTCCCATTTTACTCAGTATATTTCCATCACATTGCTGTCCTAGGCAATGAAAAGGAGATGCCAAAAAGAACCCTCAAAACCTTAAGTAATTATTTTCAGAGCCAGGCAGGAGGACTCAGCTTGATACTAACACTGCGTGAATGTTTGGTTGGCCCTGTCACACCTACATATAATTGATGACATGTCCACTTTGCTTTGTAGGGCCTCCTGAATAACATCCCTCCTTGAAGGTAATTATATATATTTATTTTTAATTACTAACTTTATATTGTATAAAATACATATGATTTATTAGTTATTTTCTTTTAAAACCCGTTCAGCCTACCACTGAAATGGAAGATCCTGTTGTGAGAGAAGCAGTACAAAGAAAGAATGTAGACATCGAGAGCAGGCACATTTTCAATACAAACGGAATGCTGGAAATAAGTACATTAAATGATTGGAAGTACTCACATTCTTTTTACCCCTAATTCTTTTTAATGTTGTTGTTGGTATCCATACTTAAATAAAAATAAACTTAGAAGTATAAGAAAACAAGATTTTTAAAATGTTTTAACTTAGATGTTTCTATTTTAATGTTTTGAATAGCGTATCATTTCCAATATTGAATTTTTATACTTGTCAGGGATTCAAAGCAGTGAATTTTGAGACTCTGAGATATCTCCAGTGTCTTATATGCTAGTTGGAGTTCTGATATTTACCTAAAGGAATGCATTACTTAGATGTCAGTTTCTGTATTAACATTAGAGAGTTGCTGTTAATGTTATTACACCGATTATCTGAAGCCAATGAGATGTTCTAACAAGGAGATTGTATATGCATGTGTGTGCATGGATGTGTGTATGGATGTGTTTGTGGCATATTTGATTATTAAAAACTAGAAAAATATTCATAACTGGAAGACAGTCTTTTAAAATGGTGGTTTTGAGACTTTTTGTTATAAAAGTTTTTTTAAAAAATAATTGCATAGAGGTGACCAATGTCATGAACATCATTGAGGCTACCAACATCATTGGCTGTTTTCCATTTCAATACCCTTTTGAAATCCTTAATATATTGCAATGCTCAGAAATAATATGCAGAATTTTTATTTGTGTCCTAAAATGGAAGGTGAGTGGTTCCACACTTTACATATCTTTCTGCCACTTTCTTTTGTGTACTTTGTATTCTATTTTCCAGATGTAGCCACATTGATAGGATTAGCTCTGGTTTAATTCATTTTACACATTTCATTGTATTCCTTATACCACTCTACCACATTTAATTAGACTCTCCTGTTGCTGATAAATGAAGAAAAAAAAGAAAAAGAAAAATAGGCTGGGCATGGTGGCCCACACCTCTAATCCTAGCACTTTGGGAGGCTGAGGCGGGTGGATTATGAGGTTGGGAGATCGAGACCATCCTGGCCAACATGGTGAAACCCCATCTCTATTAAAATATAAAAAATTAGCTGGGCATGGTTGTGTGTGCCTGTAGTCCCAGCTATTTGGGAGGCTGAGACAGAAATCGCTTGAACCCGGGAGGTGGAGGCTGCAGTGAGCCAAAATTGTGCCACTGCACTCCAGTCTGGCAGCAGAGCAAGACTCCGTCTCAACAAAAAAGAAAAGAAAAATTACTGTCAGATTAAAAGGGGCTTTTGTTTAATCAGTTTGTATCTCAGTATTTACTATATGAGAGTTTAAGGCTGAGAAGTTCAGAATGCAAGCATGAACCACCATATTTTACAAATGCCCTTAGAATTATGACTCATGAGCCTTTAGCCTATAAAGTTATGACAATTCATTTCTCTAAAGAAGTTTACTGTTCTCTAAAAAAAAAAAAAAAAAAAAAAAAAAAAAGACTGAAAATAGCAAATGACATTGTCTTAGTTGACCTCTTGGACATCCTCAAATGAAACTGCAACTTATGTCAAAATTCAGAACCAATGTGTTGAACAATATATATAGTTTGTGAATGAGCCCTTGATGAAGAAAGGGCCTTTCAAGTTTTACTTGTGCATTTTTTGCTCTTTAAGTTCACTTGTCTTACAAAAGCTTAAATTCAACAGTTTTATTTCTACAGAAAGCAGGAATATAATTTTTAAATATATTTCTGTCCTGTCTCATGGCATTATGAACTCTTGAGATCTAATTCGGACCTAGACTTATTTTTACATAGAAACAATTAGATTTCTTTCTTTGTTGTTGTTGTTGAGACAGAGTCTTGTTCTGTGATGTGGCTGAGTGGATAAGCTCTTAAAGCAGTCATCTTTCCAGTGGTTCTTTCTGTGGGAGGTAAAATGGCAGGTGAATTTGGGCCTTGTTACATGTAGGGAAGAGCATGTGGCTACCACTAAATAAAACACCCAGGACCTTCCCCAAGAGTATTGGCCAGTAACACAGTAGTATTTCTTGAGATCTTCTCCACTGGCAGCTGGAAAGTTGTTGCAAGAATCCCTGCTTCTGGTCTGATTCCTATGTTTTGCTGACTTCTGGTGATAGGGTGTTTTATCCAAAATTGAACAGTTTTAACCGAAGAGCTAGAGAGAATGTGTTGTGCTACAAAGAAGGAAGTGCAGTAGTCCACCCTTAACTGTGGGAGATACATTCAAAGGCCCCCAGTGAATGCCTGAAAGCACAAATAGTACTGAATCATTCATTGTTTTTTCTCCTATACTTACATATCTATGTTAAAGTTTAATTTATAAATTAGACACAGTAAGAAATTAACAACAACTAAAAATACAATTCAAAATTATAGTAATATGCTGTAATAAAAGTTATTTGAATGTGGTTTCTTCAAATATATGGTATGGTTCTCACCCTTTTTCCTGTGATGATGTGAACTGATACAATGCCTATGTAATGAGATGAAGTGAGGTGAATGATGTGGACATTGTCACGTAGTGTTAGGCCACTATTTACCCCCTGACTCTAAGTCAGAAAAAAGATTGTCAGCTTTGAGTGTTCCTGGACCTTCAGGCCCTAATGATGTTGATGACTAATGGCTGGACAGCACATGCAGTGTGAATCCACTGGAAAAAGGAATGATTCACATCCTGGGATGGATAGAGGGTAAGAGTTCAAGATTTTATTGTGCTCCTCCCACTGGCACACTAACACTTATGATTTGTTTATTTCTGGAGTTTTCAATGTAATATATTTGGAATACAGTTAGCTGTTAGTAGCTGTAACCACATAATTCAAAACTGCAGATGTAAAATCTGTGTTTGGACTTTGACTCATTTCTTGATGTACAATTCTTAAACTCCTTAGAATTTCCAAAGTGATGTCTTTTGGTGTGCTAATGATCAATGGCTGGAAGCTCCTAGGTAGATTTAGGATGGGAACTGGTCACCATCCTGAAGACATGGCTGATTAGAGGGTTGAGATCTTTTGTCTCACT